CTCCTAGTACCAGTGGCCAGGAGCTACTAGTAGCTTCATTGCTCCTATAGTAGCGATGCCATTTGTTCCTAGTAAAACACCGAACTAGCTTTCGGTTCGGTCGAGTTCCACGGAGGCTTCGATCATCGAAGATGGTGAAGATCACCCTGCAGCCCACTGAGGCCCGAGCGGAGAAGTGTCCGATAAGTGAAGGACCAAAACCACCATGCATTTCAGAATGGTTGGACAAGAAAAGGGTGGAAGAAGGTGTATCACATGTGGAATTGGGTAGGACCAACTCTCAGAAATCCTCCAAACTCGCAGGTCCTGGTGCTGTCTGTCGGTGCCTGAAGCCTCTCCGGCCGCGGACGGACTGGCGTCGCAGCCAAGCGGCCTCGGACTGGCGGCGCCTGGAGCGGCCAAGCGCCGGGAGTTTGAAGCGTTCCCGCGTTCCCGGCGGCCGCGGACAGGCCGACGGCCGCGGACAGGCAGAGCTCTTTGGGCCTTTCAGAAGTCCTTGGAAGGGTCCCCAATTCATCCGTTACGCCATGCTTTTTACTTGGAGGGAGGTTGTGACTGAAAGGTGGAGGATATGACGACCAAAACAATTTGATATTTTTATATTTTTTTTGAGGGGGGAGATGACTGCAGGGGTCAGGGGTCTAAGTATATATTGTATATATGTTTCTTTGGGTTATTTCTGGAGTGTTGTGGATCTTTGGATACCAAATCAAGCTTGATTGGTACATCATGTGGACTGTTGGTTTATAAACTTCCGAGATTGTCGACCATCAAGGTCATTTTTGCTGGAGGGTTTTATTGATTTGTCAACCTGATGAAGATTGGACCTCGAGATGAAGAGAGTTTCGTTGGCTGTTGTGTTAAACTCTTGCATTCTTTTTGGAGAGAGGCCTGTAGTTTAACACCCATCAAATATACCGGCCTGACCCAGGTCCAGTCACCTGGTCCTGAAAACCATTGAACACCTCAGCAGGAGTCACCTCCAGTTTCCATTAAAAAGAGGTTCGTTCCTGACCTGGTCAGGGCGAAAGTTCGTTTGTCCCTATGAATCCGCAGAGCCACCGTACCTCAGGTTCGGTATGGGCCCGACCCAGGCGCCTGCAGTCTCCCTACTCACCTTCTCAGGGTGTGTTCGTTTCAAAGTTAGTACCAGAGCTCTGCCTCACAGCGACGGGGACTCGCCGGAGACGTGAGCGACCGGTCTATGAAAGATGATGTCGATGTATACGTATTAAAATTTGTATTTACATCATTTTACATATATGACTATTAATCATTACATACAGTCTCATAGTTGTATATATGTAACTCTTCTGTAACTCTTCTATACATAGGGATGGTTTTGCCAGTGCTTGGAGGATGCGCCGAACATTGTACAGCGGGCAGTGACGCAAAAAGGACGATTCACGACGGAAACGACACAGTTCCGAGGGGTGGGGCCGGCCGTGTCCGTGTGTGGCGTATCTCCATTGGCGAAGTCATGTTTATCTCGGGCAGTTTCCGAAAGTCGCTGCCAGGTTTGCCACATGTTTTCACGTGTGAAAACATCCAGTCACATCCAGTCTTCAACTTTAGGCCATTCTTTCATGATGAATCTCCCCTCAACTAGTAGGATGTGTTTCAGGAAGGAAGGAAGGCTGTCTCAGAGATGTCCAATGTTGGTCTGAGCTGGGTCACTTTTTGGGTGGAGAAAGATGCTTCTCGGGCCCCAGTTCCGAGAAGCACGCATTGCCCAGCCAGTTGGTTTGCACGATGTGGTTCGAACAATTAGCAATAAGCTTCTACCCAGGAGGGATTGCCAACGTGAATAAAAACCCGGAACACCACCTGAGCATACCTCGGGTGGTGGTGCATCATTGAAGCACAAGTTTGGAACCGGTTCAGCTTGGTATTTGGATCTATAGTCCGGTCGTTCGGATAGATCTCGTTTCCAGATCACATTGTTTTTCTGGGAACAGACCTGGCTGAAGGTCAAGACCTGGAGCTGTAAGCCCTGGTAGGTTGACCGAGGAGACCTCTGCTTTCGAGGGTCTCCTCGGGTGAGGGATTGAGATACTGAGATACCCGGCTTCTTCCCTTGGCTCTTCCGGTCCGTACCTTTCCACGCGGATGGGGTGGTCCTTTGATCGTCTTGGTGCAGTGGACACTTTGATCGTCTTGGACCATGCTGTTTAGGTCGGCATGTATCCCAAGCGTGTTGTGGGAAACCTTGTCATGTGTTACCGGCCGGCAAGTGGGTAAGAATCGCTATCCCTAGACAGTCGACAGTCCCCTCTTAAAGTTGTACCCAAATTGGGATCTGCTTTGGTAATCTTGTCAGGAACTGTTGCAGACCAAAAAACTTTGTAGTAGCAACTAATTAGTTTTCAAGGACTGATTGAAGGCCATTTGCACTCTTTTCGTCCATCTGTAGTTCAAGCAGGTCGTCCTCTTTTTGATAAATAGTTGTGGGATTAATATGGATTAATCCCTAGGCCTCCAGTCGTACCGAACCTGAGAAGGTGGGACTGGCGTGGGTGCCGGGAGGGTCCAAATACCTTCTGAGGAGGTACGACTGGAGGTTTAGGGAATGAGACCAATTGTGAGTTGTTGAACATGGGATGTCTTTGGCACAGGTCCTGGGTGTGTTGCTTCCCCTTTCTTCAGGTGGCAGGCTTCCAATCGAAGTTTGACGATCAAAGGACACCCAAGACTGCAGGTGTCCACTGCAAGACTGCAGGGTTGACCTACCAGGGAGCTCGCTCGTTCGCGGTCAACAGTGGACCGGCCGGGCCTCATCGGTCTGGACACATCCCTACACCGACTTCGTCGTACCGAACTCACCTCAGCGGTCCCGACGTAGAATGGCCCCCGGGCCCGCGGGCGTCCCACCGAACCGGTTCGCGGTTCGCTACGACAACGGAGGCCGATAGGGCATTTTTCACCACCCGTCCAACCGGCCTGGCCGACTCGCCAGGCCGACTCGCGACAGTCACTGCGACTCGCGGGGCGGCCTGGGGAGTGAGCGGGGGGGAAGCCGCCGAGGGAAGCCAACGTGACGACAGAGGTCCTAGAGGTGCAGGTCTCCTGGTCCCTGTCAAACCTCAGGAGTGATGGATGTGGTTTTGTATGATTGGAGTCAGGTTTTCTTCCCGACCGGGAGGGAGAAGGCAGAAAAAATCTATGCCAGAATTGGCATCTCTTTAACAGTTTGCACTTTTCAAGGCTGACAATGGATTCTCATATTGGAGGAGCGTCCTCTAAAAGACACATCTATTGACCCAAGGTGAGAAGCAGGGACATACCTCACATTGGGGATTGCAGTCAGTGTTGGGGATACTTCGAGCTACGTGCGATGGGTAAGAGCGGATCACTTCCTCTGACAGGCAGAGAAATGTGTCAGAAACCAAGCCTTGTTCTAGGATCTCAAAATGACAGCAGGACTACCAATCAGAAGATGCACCACATCTAAGAAGCATCTTGATCAGCATGGTCCAACTGACAAGGTTCCCGATTTGCTCATTGTGAGGTTCAACTTCAGTTGTCCGTACATTCAGTGCATCAGAAATCATAGAACATCCTTCCTAGCTGATGACCCGTTCTTTCCTAACTAACCTCTCTCCCACCTGAAAAAACTCCCCCAAACGCTGTCAGCCTCGAACGCTGTCGCCCCTTCCCCCGAGGTCGGCCCGAGCGCAGCAGCTTCACGCGCCGTCCGTCGGGCGGGCCGCCGGGCACGTGGAAGAACACGGACGGCGGGCCGCGAGTGACCGCCGATCTGGGCTTGGAACTCGCGGGAGGCGCGGGCGGCGCGTTTCCACTGACTGGGGGTGAAGGGAGTTGAGGGGCTGGATCGGTGGTGAGGCAGATGTCGGCAGAGGATGGAGCCAGGCGGTTCGGTTTCAGTGTGATCAGATGATGTTTCATCATGTTTTGCAGGACTGCATGCTATACAAATGATTCATCCTGCGCCAGTGACCCTATCCCCAGGTGTGTCGATGCGAGGGTTAGATTTTGGGGGCTTTGGAATTCAATTCCTGTCGATGAGTAGAATGAGTAGAACACGAATGATATGGAGATCTATTCCAGCACCCAGCTCAGGTGGTGACCATCGACCCCCCCCCACCTATTACCTACCATGTGTTTTTTGCATCCAAGAGACCAGAGGATGGAGGATCATCTGCTCCACTCCAAAACAACAGATAGCTCGCGCTCAGTCACGCTCGGCTGTTTTCACACAGACCCGTCGATTTCTTGCAACCTGGGATGGAGATGCCAGCGGTGATGGAGATGAGCTGGGTCTGTCCTAGGCAACCTGTAACAGTTTGTCTAGAGAAAGGCCTTTACTGACCATCATCATCCGCTATTAACTACTGGTAATGAGATACACCCACGAGATGAGCCCTTAAAGTCTTTTCAGCCAACAGCTTCAGGGGGTAGTAAGAAGGGTTTTCTCTTCTCAAGTGGCCAAAAGAGTCTTTGGTGGACCCAGAACCAGATCTGGACACCTTCAGTCAGGGTCCATGGGATCGTCGTTCCAAAACAGTCCTTTCCTTGGGTAACAGCTAGCCACTCAATCATCCGTGCCGCTCAGTGCCACTCCTAATTTTGGCTGGCTTCGTAGAAGATCCAGCACAAAAAATGTAGGATCTTGATGAATAACCCCCCCAAAGCCTTTTCATATGGGGGTTGATTCCCTAGGGCTCCTGGCCCACCTCCTGAGGTTCGATGGTTGGGGTGGGGGGGTGGTTTTGGGGGGTCAGTCCCCATCGAACCTGAGGATGATGGGCCGTTTGGAGGATTAGGGATAAATCAAGATCCTACATTAGAGCCGGCTCGACAGGTTTGGAAGATTGGCTGGTGGGCCCCGTCCGCGAGCTCAATGCGAGTCGATCTCACTAAAAAGAGATGTGTGTATCAAAGGAAGACGGATTCGGGCAACGAGCCCCTGGAAGAAGGGACTGACATACACCAAAAACCGACCCCAAACCGGCCACGGAGTCTCCTTTTTTTCAAGATATCACACCCAAATCACACCGAAGACAAAGGCCGGCCGGGCCTAGAGCTCTCTTTGTTGGTATACTACACACGAGTTCTGTGAACTGGAGGGATTCTGCAGAAGAAGTGTTTTCCCCTGGGAGTCAAAGACTATATAAAAAGAATGGTCTGACTAGGGGACCTGATTTCGGGAACTTCCTTTACTTCAGCCGGTCAAAATATAGTCGAACTGGACTTCTAGGGTTTCTGTTGAGCGCTTCGTCTCCGCTCCCTTGGACGGCCTACATTGGATCCTTTTGGGCACACAGGGCAGGCACCGATGGCAGCCTTCAGCAGCTTCATCCTGAAGAACGAGTAACGAGCCAAGCAATGAAGTCAGGTGTCCCCTGATTCGCGCGCAAAAGCTCAGGAGTTGTTGGTCTCTGATTTTAGTAGAACTCAAACAACTTGGATCCCTTGTAAAGAGTCCAGATATGTCCAGATACCAAGAGTCACGCGGAGTATATAGTGAGTGGATGTGACAGGGGCATCACCTATCCTCCGGACTCGGCAGCCCGGCACCCCGAACGAAATGTGACTCTGGTACAGGGTTCCAATTTCACCAGTCTCGTGCAGATTCCCCTCGCATCCACTCGCCACGACGGCAAAAGAAAACACGTTTTGCCCGGTCCCAAGGCCACCTCGGTAGTCCGCTTGGAAGTGCGCATGGAAGGCGAGGGCGAGACGACTTGTGTTTCTTGAAACGCGAATTCGCGTTCCACGAGGTCTCGATCACGCGGTTCAGTGATCAGTTCCTGAATTGACTTAGATGGGCTGTGGTCTTGCTAATAGGTTAGTAGACTTAGGAAT